AATTTTAAACATCCTTCATATTTACTTGTAGAATCTGATTTATTTCAATTATCTCGGATAATGTGACAATTCCATCGCATGTAAGATCGGTTGCCTGTATTCCCAATTGTAATAAGATACGGTTTTTTTTCAATGCGTCTTTTATAACAAATAATAATTCATCGGTCAACATATTTTTTCCAATGTTCAATGTTTCTAATGTTTTAGACAATGCCTGTACACACATACACATACACAAATAGCATTAATGTTACATAATTACAATATATACATATAAAAGAAAATGAATTATTATAACAATATAGAAAATTACATACTATAATACGTGCGAAGTAAGGAGATGATTTTTTTGTAAGTTGGTTATTCCATAATACCAATATATTTAAACCTTTACCACTCTTATCTTCATTTATTTGGTTGATGAGACCCTCTAACATATCACGTACACCATCATCTTGGATGATGTTGTTACTAGAAGAAAGATATAATAATGCAGAATAAATTATGTAAAATGTTATTAAACATTCGTTGAAGATGATAAAGATTTTTTTATTAATTTTTAATTGTTTTTTCACTTCAATATTACTTTTTATTTGTACATACCTAACATCAAGTAGTTGTATATGATTATTTAACCTAAGAAGAGAACCAAGCTGTATTGCATCATATAAATTTAAATTATTGTCAGCTAAATAAAGTTCTCTTATTCCAGTGTTCATTTTTAATGCTGAAACTATTAGAAGAAACATACCATTACTTTGTTAAAAATTTTCTTTATTCATTGGAAATGATTACAAGTACTTTATTTTTTATACATCAAAATAGTATTTACAACTTTAGTTATCGACAGTTTAAAAAACCACCTTTTTAAAATTTTCTAAATAAAATCATATTATAAAACTGATACAAAGTCCGCAATAGGAATTAAATCATACAGACCCGTAGAGAGGGACATCCGCAACATCTATATTTACTTCCTTGAAGCCTTCATCTAATTTTGTCTGCATTATTTTGAGTTTGTCCGGTGCAAAACATCATGGTTTGCAAGAAACGGACAGACCCATCCTGGTACGGGTAGATAGTTAGGTGAGGACTTGCGAGAAAGTACTTGGGTTTAGATGCTACGGATGTCCCTCTAATGGGGAGTGCGGTATGCAATAGTTTTAATAAATCTTTAACATAAATTGTATATATTTAAAAGTATCATATAAAAAGCGTAAATTATTAAAACGGTCTATTTGTTTCATACCTATTCGTATATATTTTACGTATATAAAATATATTTAATAATTTTCATTACCTTAACGTTTATACATAGAGATGAATCGTTCATAACTACATATCAGATAATTACTCTAAAGTGAAAAATAAAGCTAACAAAATGTATCACATGATAAATACCTAGTGTGATGATACATCTCCCTGAAAGCCCACAATTTTCTAATTTAAGCACATGTAGATGGCAGACTAATGGTAATGCACGACTCAAGATATTCATGTATTGTTCATTAAGTGTTATATCCTTAGCTTCAAGATGTTCTAAACATTGGGTCTAGACAAATAACAGTTGCATTAATTATGTACCAAATAATGAACAAATAAACTGCAAACACACATTTAATATCATTTTTACTTTTGATATTCCCATTAGTTACCCAATGTATAATAATTAATGAAATAATTTACAGATTATATTTAAAACTAACAGGTGCCTCTTTGTTAACAAAACATATGTTACGTATACCTTTCTTATCATATTTGCACATGCTTGCCAACCATGAATTCCAATGTTTTGATTAGATGAAATATTTAAGTGTTTTGCAGATTCATAATATTCTATCGTATCAAATAATATCACAGCAGTCTACAATAAGAAAAAGTGATAAATAACATTGAACAACATTCAAGTAATTTTATGAGAAAATTATAAATTGAAGAATATACCTCGTCATTCAAAAATGTGGCTTCTAAATCAACTTTATTAAACTGAACTCTTTTAAAAATTTCTTCTAACGTTTCTGCATGATTAATATTCAATTTCTGCCCTTTTAAATTTAGCTCTTCATTTCGTGCTTTAGATATATCTAAAGTCTGTGTAGAAAATTGTTATGATTTTATGAGTTTTTTATTAATATATAAATTCAACGCTGCTTTGTCTAATTCGATATTAGACAAAAAATACTGAAACAAATATATTTTTACCTCTAGCTGACTTATAACAGTTTCCAGAGACTCTGCATTATGTTTTATACAGGATTCTTTGTATGCCAAGATTAAATCTTCAAGATTCACATTTTCAGCTGTAAACAATTAATCAGTATATCATTAGAATATTGAAAATCTTATAAATATTAAGAGGTAAATGACTTAGAAATGATGCTTTGCGAAAACTGTAGAATATATATATATATATACTCAAACCTATTCAATAAAATATAGCTAATGATATATAATATTAAAAACTTGATTCTGAACTTCAGTTTATATTTATTTTTATAAATATATAATCTTTTTTAACACGTTCGCTGCGGTGTTCATTGGTGACTCACCAAGTTTTTCATTTGTAGCAATGACTTGATCATTAATTAGTCTTTATATTTCCATCGAATGTTCACCTCGCTATCACAAGAAAGCAAGTTGATAAATTTGACCCTGGAAGCAGAGGATCAAGACGAAATCAACTCTTCATTTTTCTCTTAGAACCATAGCCAAATATTTACTCGCATTTTGTTATGGTACGAATCAAGTATGCTTTATTAAGAATATGAAATGTATGTTTAAAAAAATCAATTTTCTTTTTAATACCTAAGAATTTCTTTTTATTTAGAAAACTAGCTTCCACTTTTTTCATATGTATATTTCCACAGAGAACGTATTAATACAGCAATGTAAATAAAGTGTTTAAATTTTATATAAAAATTATCAAGATATTAAAATACTTTCGTGTATCGTAAATTTATCTTAAAAAACAATATATTTTAATTCTCATTGCATTGATACATGAATTTGAAAAAAAAAAGAACTAATAATAAAATATAAACTGGAGAATATTAAAAAGTGTTTATGATGGAAAACGATATTAAATGCTTTCTTCTTAATTATTAAATTAGAGCTAAAAAATATATTTCAAGAACAACTTACAGGTTAATTATATACAGTACATACTTTAATATTGCATCAAACTTATAATTAGTATATGGTTCGCATTGTGAAATCTTAAATGTTCTGTATTTGGCATGACCTATAAAAAACCTAATAGCTTAGTAATACATTATCCACTATGCAAATAAATAATTACCAAAATGCTATTGCCAAGTTGTATTATTGATAAATTATTAAATAAGACATGTTTGAGAAGTTTAAATGTACAAATATACAAATGCATAATGTAACACATATAATTAAAGAAATATATAATAATAACAACTACACTGGACATAAGATAATCTAAACATAAGTAAGAATATTAAATATATAAAATACAAATTAATTAACCTAATCAAATACAATATTCAATACACCTTCTATAAATATATTTGCGTAGATATTACATTTCATAAATGACAATAGATATATACATTTGTTTTACAATGTTTTTTACAATGAATAATAACAGTAATCAAATATTATAAGTAAAGAAAAAGTATATACATAATTTCAACTGTATGAAAAATAACTATATATATATAGCATGAATTCTGAATTTAATTAATTATTTACAACATAGTAGATAATAATGTAATTTTGGATAAAGTTGTAATGAATGATAATAAGTTTTTAAAAAAAAATGCAGATGTTAATAAAATTACAAACCTTGCATAGACACGTTAATAAAAGAACTAATATTTACTTTGATTTCTATAAATTACAATGTAACAGTCCTAATTTTTATACCATGAACATTCGTTAGCTGTACCTGAAGATAAAGTACTGATCTTAAAAACTGATCAGAAAAAAATTGCACAACTGAATGAAGAGAAGTAAATGAATAAAGTGGAGTTGTAGCGATAAATGAGTGTAAAACTGATGATGCAAGGACGAAGACATTATTCTCACCGAGTTTCCATGGATTGGCCGGTTCCAAATATCCCGTAACCAAGAGATTGTCATTTGTCGGAAAACTGACACGCCGCGGTAACTTTCTTTTGCTTAAAGCCAAAGAACTTCGTAATTTTTTTCCATCAATTAATATATAAGGCGATAGCGGAACATTGCCTATACCGAATCGTGGTCTTCTGGTAGTATGAGATATCGTTCTTGGAGGAAGTTTCTCAGGATCGACCTCGTTTTTCAAGGTCGTAAGCGAATTCTCGCAGATCTGTCCTGCTGAATCCGCTTCTCCACTCATATTCAACAAATTTCGAACATATTTTATTAATTAAAATTTACTTCACGTACGTACGCATATGCATGCACACACACACACACCACACAATATGTCAACGCGACTGTTCGAACAATCGTTAACGCGCGTACCGAAGCAAACATCAGCTACCCGTATACTACGTCCGCCATGTTCATTACTGTTCAACAAGTCGACAACTATAAAACTTAATGCAACTAGACAAATCTATAAATTACATTTTAAATAATCAAATACTATGATGTATTATTATTCCTTTCTTTAAACAACTTTTTATATACATCAGTTGTTAAATAAAATATTTGGAAATCATCAGCAATAAAATAATTACAAAACTATACTATTAATGTCTATATCTATGTATACAATTAGGTTCTATATGCATTAATACTTTATGTAACATATAATAATAATTATATATTTATGTAACATTACATCTGTAATATTAAATCTACACATGAAATACTTCAATCACCATACATGATGTATGACTTTCAATGAAATGAAATTCAATTTAGAATATTTAAATTCACATAATTATACTGCGTATAAAATTTCTGACAACTATTGTATCTAGAAATTGTATTTTATTGTTTTTCTTTTTTCTTTTTTGTAATGATATTTGAAAAAATTATTGAAGAGGAACAAAGATAGATATATGTATATCTTTCTCATTATATGTCACGACGTCACGACTCTTCTCCATTCAATTCTGACAGGGAAAATTCCTTGTATGGTTAAACTGGAAAGGCAGTAGTAACAACAATTTTGTTAAAAAGAAATTAATGATTTTATCAATGTATGTAATAATAACTGATCCTAATTGTATTTATGTATCTTTTACTATTATTAATAAGTAAAATTGTATATATATTAAGTTTGTATCATGTAACCTATACATTAATAAAAATTATAATTTTCATTGAAGATGGAGGCGGTATTGCAACAAAAAGTAATAGAGGCAACGCAATGCGTTGAAAAACAATTGGATGCTGAAATAGAAAAATTAGATAATTTGGATATCAGCGATATTGAAAAATTACGTGAGCAACGTTTAAAAAAATTGAAGTTACTTCAACAACAAAAGCAGAACTGGCTGTCATTGGTAAAATGTTTTTTAGATTATTATTTTAACGCTATAAAATTGTTAATTATCATAAATTTATAATTGTACTATGATTGTAGGGTCACGGGGAATATTCAGAATTACAGGATGAAAAAGAATTTTTTGAAATATCAAAAAGGTCTGAGAATATCGTCTGTTTATTCTACAAAGATGACTCGGAAAGAAGCAAAATAGTAGATCATCATTTTAAAATTCTTGCAAAGAAACATATAGAAGCAAAATTTTGTAAATTAAATGTAATGCGATGCCCATTTTTGACCGGTGAGTTGACGCCGCGTATTTAACTTTTAAGATATAAATATTAAAAATATTAATCTAAATCGGGCATTTTCAGAACGATTAAGGATCAAAATTATCCCTACAATAGCCATTATTGTAAATGGGAAAACTAAAGATTACATTGTGGGATTTACCGATTTAGGGAATCGTGATGATTTTTCAACAGAAACATTAGAGCTCAGAATTTCACTTGCGGGTGCAATTACAGTCGAGGATAACTGTCCGTCGGAAATTAATAAAAAACCATGGTTATCATATACCCCAAAGTCCAAAACTATTAGAGGACCTAACGATTCAAATTCTGATGATTCTGATGATGATTAATGAATAAGATAATTTCACAGTATTGCACGCTATACTCATTAAATTATTCCCTGTTATTCGTATTCTGAGTATTTATCTCTGCAAGTTTAATTAATGAAAATTCATGAACATTAAACAAATAATGGTAAAATAGATTTATTAATAATATTATTATATTTTGCGTTTTGTTGTATTCTTTTACTATTTTATAAATTGCTATAAAAGTATTAAACTATTCTGAGTGTGTTTTTGGTATTTTTCAATATCTTTTCCCTTTACATGAAATAAAAGAGCTTATAAGTATTTTACTTCTTTATTAAACGGTTGTAAAGATTCACGTTTTATAACATTTATAATGTATATAATTGTAAATTGGACAATGTGATATGTTACAATGAAATTTTATGTAGGAATGAAAAATACAGTGTATTTTTATTGTTTATATTTGTATTTTCTTACGTAATTTTATAAAAGTATCGAAAAATTCAAGCAGAAATTAATTTTAAACAGGAACAAATAATATATGCTTTAATTAAACAGTTTATTGTAATATTTTATAATAAAAAAACATAAGCATTTTGTTTTTAAAGTAATCACTATACATTTACACAATCTTTATGGAAACTATATAAAAATAATAACAGTAAATAAATGTGAAAGAATTATAGCACTGAATTAATATTATATTTTAATTTTATGCTATAGAAGAGTGAAGTATGGACTTCTGGTATCTTCGAAAATGATTATTTATCTGATTTAAATCTATTTATTAAATTTTAATTTGATTAGTCTTTAAATACATACAGCCATTCATGAAAGAATAAATAATTTACCACGTCACTTTTAATTTTATGGTAAATTGAATTTAAAGCAAACTATAACTACGACTATATTTTACTATCATTGCTTTAAATGATAATTATTACTTATGTACACATAATTTTTTACATTTACATACAAGAAATCCATGATTTAAACTTCATAGTAGATTAAATATAAATTGAATGTATAGTGGAGAAATATTCTATTTTTTACGTTTGTACTACATACTTAAGGACTAATTGTTAATGTTAATACTATGCAATATATCACAGAGATAATTTTGCACACCTTATTAGCTTCCATATATACATACTGAAATAGAAATTATATTTATGCGATTACTGTGCAATACGAGTTATTTTTCAATATTATTTAGAAAATAGAGAAAAAGATAAATGAAAAAGAAATGAAAATAATACTGTATTCATACAAACTATAAGAATTATATAAATTACCTTATAATGCCCCTGTTCATGAATTATTTCAAATATTTCACATTTTAATAATTTTCTTATGATATTACGTTAATATATTATGTAATATTTAGAAACTTTTCTGTTTTTGTTTTGGTTTTTTTTTTACATAAAAGTAGAAGTGTAAGAAAAACATGCGTAATCATTATTATAAAAAATATAAATATTTACTTGTGTAAAATATAAAAATATATATTCTAAAACACATACGACATAGCAATTCGACTTTATTTGAATTACATGTTCAATGTGTGTTTTATTACATATTCATTATTCTTTGAAAAATGAAATGTTAATATATTATGTAAGAAATGCAGTTACATGGTTTAATGTAATTTAACATAAACGATTTAAACGTCCAATCTCATAGTTGCATATTTTCTTTTGTAAACACAGACCTATTACATGCAGTATTTAGAAACATTTATAACAAATGATATTGGTAAATGAAAAAAACATAAAATCGCATTATACAGTGAATATAAAACAAAATATTTCTTGCTGTTTTTTTACATAAAAAATTATGTTGTATTATTTATTACTACAGTATTAAGTAAATAACGTAATTATATATAAAAGTAATGATTTTTAAATACATATTACTAAAGTGAACATAATTACACTTTGTACACCCCTCTTCTAAGGTTTATTTTTTCAACTAAATTGCATTAAGCAAGAAATTTTGCTTTAATTTTGTCGATTTAGTTTAAATTATATTGTTGTTTGAACATAAATTGAAAGATGCATTAGATATATCATCCATGGTGTGTAAATACATACTATATCTTTTTTATATCGTTTTTAATTACTAATACAGTCTGAAGGACGTGAAATTATTTAATGAATGTTGTTTTGGTTAGGAAATGCATACTGATTACAAGAAAGTCTAAAAAAGACAAATGGAACGTAAAATAATTTTCTCACTATGATACTTATTAATATTTAGAATTGAATCAGCTAGCTTAACTAGGTTGTATAAGAGGATACTGTTAATTTTCTTCATTATCAAAAAACTGTATATTCACATAATTAATGTAATCTTACATTTCTCGAAGGAAAATAATATTTTAATACTAAGATAAAATTAAACTTTGATTCTTTTTCACTTAAGATCTATGTTAATTGGTAAATGAATAGGTTGCGAAAGATTACAATCAATATATTCACATTATTTTAACAACTTATATATTATTTTGTTCTCAGTAATGAAAACAAATTTGACCAGCCAGTTTAAGTAATGCGTCAATTTAACTCACTGTACATATTTTGATGTTTGATAAAGTCATAGAAGTATATGCCTTCTACCTTTAATACGATTTACCAAGTTGCATATTTTAAGTGCTGGTCCAAGTTTCAGTCCCATATACTTCATCATCATGTCAGAATTCAAAAGTAGCAGAGCTTTCCCATCAATTTCCTGAAAACATTTACTTTCATTAGCTGCAATATAAATATTTTAATTAATCATCTGACCATAAATAAATGACTAAGCATATTAACATACATGCTTTCTAAATAGATCTGCATGCTGTCCTAATGCAGGGTCGGTAACACCTATATAATGTATTACATCTTCGATTGTCCATTCTGCTGGTTCTGCAGAAGGCGTGCGATTTATGGAACTTTCAGACTGAGTAGTAGATGTTGCTGCTTCAAGTTCTAATTATAACAATAATCCTCTTTTCATTTTGAATAAATCAGTTATGTACTAACAATAAGGTTTGATGAGTAAATAGAAGGGTATATTGAAAAAAATGGGCATCTTATTTTATAATTTGTAAATACAGGGTATCTCCCGGAAATGGGGGGTTGCTCGGGTGATTCTGAACAACTTTTTCCTTTACCAAAATGTCATTTGAAGCTTCGTTTTTGATTTATTAACGAAAAACACTGGCCAATCACAGCGCGCGCTCAGCTACGGGAGCGTTGGCTCTGAACCGCGCTCGGTCGTGAACAAACGCATTGGCACAGCGTGCGACAAATATTACATTGTCTTAACCCATTATTCGCCAATGACCCATTCTTGGGACACATTTTCAAATTTTTTTTCTTTTAATAACTTTTGAAAGAAAAAAATTTAAAAATGTGTCCCAAAAATGGGACATTGGCGGATAATGGGTTAAATTATGAACAATGTGGAATTATTTGTTCACGACCGAGCGCGGTTCAGAGCCAACGCTCTCGTGGTAGATCGCGCGCTCTGATTGGCCAGTGTTTTTCGTTAATAATTCAAAAACGAAGCTTCAAACGACATTTTGGTAAAGGAAATAGTTGTTCAGAATCACCCCAGCAACCCCCCATTTCCGAGAGCTACGCGAGTACTGAGACACCCTGTACATCTACCTGGAACGGATTTTCGTGGTTGTTTCGCAGCCGTTGGCGATGACAAGGTAGAGTTATCCAATTGCATACTATTCTCTATAGTATGTGATTTGGTATTAGCTGTACTAGTATCAGGTTCTGTAGCTGGTTGCGGAGGAGCGCTCGAACCTGCAGGGCTCACTAACGCAACAGCTGGTTCTCCGTTAGTACCAGCACCAGATACTGCCATTACCGGTAAGATATTACTAGTTCTTGACTTAAATCTATTAGGCCCTGTTGCTATAAACAGTCGCACATATAAATTTGATGAAATACTAACATAATATTGTCAGTTGACAAACACATAGTTTAATATTTTATAATTTTTCTTACATTTCTGTCTCGGTGGTTGCAACGGATGACCACTTTTAAAACACCATCCAGCAGGAAAAATATCTCTAGAGTCGAAACGACACCAATAATCGAATGCTCCTCGCCAACCATCAAACGTAATATGTATCATATCATCTTTAACAGCACCAACAGTTGCTGTACATATAAGCTGCGGATTCTTTTTATCTATGGCTTCTAGTTTATGTCCAACTTCGAACATATTAGAGCGTGGAGTTTTTGGTTCGCGTTTAAATACTTTCGCGGGTGCCATTTCTGCGCCGTTCAATGTTTTTAAAAGAAACATTGGCCAACTGGAAGCATTCATTCTGAAGCCTAACGGAGGTTGTAACATCCCGCCAGATTTTTCACAATGACCGATCGGATGAATCTCGTTGCTATCGACTAAACGCCAGAAATCATTTTTATTATCCGAACCGTCCAACCTTAATCTTAGGCGAGGACCAAGGACACCAACAACCGTTGCGATACACGTTGACGTTAAATTGCGAGGATCCAGAGCTTCTAACTTCATGCCCATTTTAAACTCGTTAGTCGGCGGAACTTCGTGCTAAAACAGAATCTCTTTTAATGGAAGTTTTCATTTTTATGTTACCGATGTAATATACCTGTTTAAAACATTCAACAGGTGCTGCTTGACTATTTGTTTCTTTCAAATAAAGATCCCAATCAAATGTTTGGTATGTTTCGTATTGAAACGGGCCGGTAGACGTTGATGGAGGATGAGATATATTTGTATGATTTGTACTGGTGAAAGATTGAGTTGTAGATGGAACATTATTTCCGCTTATTAATCCAGACGGAGTGAGAGACGGTGAAGGTGACGAGTGGTCCCTATTATCTGACGAATAAAAATTGGTTGTTAACAGAACTATAACGCTACATAATGTTTTACATTAATATTTTCTTTCATTACTTTGAAATTTCAATAAGTTACTAACTTTTCTTCATATCCACTTGTCCTTCCCTTTTTTGATGTTTATTTAAGCAAAATGAAGAACAAAAATCCTTTGTTGGCCCATCTTTTTGTTCTAATCTCACTGGCGTGCCTCTGATAACATTGTCACATTGAACGCAAGCACCTCGTACATAAGCTTTGCGAAATTCAGACAAACATGTTTCTGAACAAAATTCTTTTTTTCCATGCTGCGTCGGAAGAACATATTTTAAAGGTTGTTTAGTTTCCCCGCACCATGTACAGGAATTTTTTGATTTTGGTGGTCTTCCAGGACCTGTATTTAAAAGTTTTTTGTATTTTAAACATGATACAATATAATGAACATAATATTAAATATTTATTGAAACGATCAGTTTATATTTATCAGATAAATGAATAGAAGAAAAAGAAAATAGTGTAAAATACAAGGTTACTTTGAGCTATAATAATTGTGTACCTCGCATTTTGCTTTGTGTAGACGACATAATTCTTCATAGAAAGACGGTAAATTGATACTAAAACTTAATGCATAACAATACTAGTTTAATTTAATAATTAGGGACATCTTTGCGTCCATTAATAAAATAAATTTTGGAAGCACAATTAAGTTTTACATTGAATAAGCTTCACTTCTGTGTAACTTATGAGTACGTTACAGTTAAGCTCGTACAGCATACGACAGTTTTTTACAAATTTTCGAATCAATCGAAATTTAATAATCTTTTGATAAGTATTTCATCACAATCAAAATAATATATTCCGTATCAAAAGTTATTGTGTCAAGCCGCCATATTGCTTTGATTTGGCCGCGCAATCCTTAGATAAAAAAGCAATAGAAAGGATTCACTATATACTGGCGTATAATTAAGCATCGATATTTATTTATTTAAAATATAACACATTTGCTCTCATAGAATTGATCATAATTGATGATAACATGCATTTTTCAATAAAATGAAGTAATAAAACTATAATGGTTGTTTCTCTAGTTTTTTCCGTCGTATCTAGTGTTTTGATCATAATTTTATTTATATAATTTTTTTAAGATCTATTTATAGATTACAATATTTAGTTCTCATCTAAATATTATGATACCATATATACGTGTGTTGTAAAATTATTTTCTGAAAATTTATAATATATTTATAAATAAAAATGATAACATTAAGCTTTGTTGGCTTATGCAATCAAATAATTGTAACATATTTGTACAGAAAAGATGTAAATTACAAGTTTTACGACATTGTTTTATATAAATTAATATCATTTCAATGTTTTTCTTTTTTTATACAAAATGTTTTTTCTCCATGAATTTGCTGTTCATTGTGGTGAATAGCTTTAAGTTTCCTATCGCTAGAATTTCAGTTCAAGCAAATGGTATCTCACGGGTGGAGGTCGTTGCGTCAAATTTCACAAATCATGAATGAATTCTAAGTTCTGTTATACATTTCTTACAAATTAACAACATTGTTAACTGTAGTAAGTTCTGTTTTAATGTTCAAACAGTTTTTATAAATTTACATAATCGTATGCGACGAAAAATCAGGAATTTATCAAACGTTTTTGTAGTATGTAAACAAACATTGAATTACGAAATGTTGTCATATAATTTGTATATTTTTATATTTACAAACTTATCGAAGATAAAGAATACTATAATTTTCTTTCCTTTTAATTTACAATATAATAACAAAGATAACTCATTTTGAGAAAGTATTTCTATCAAAATGTATCTCTTATTTTACCAAACATAATGTTTCTATTTATACGTTTGTAAATCATTTGTTATTTCTACAGAAGTAATAATTTTTGTATAATATTTGGTATTGAATTGCGTATATACTATAGAGGAATAACAAAATTATATTAAATTTGTTTGTGTACATATATACATATAGCTGTTATATGTTTTGAAATACCTGTTGAAAAATATAATTGCATTACATGTGTTAAAGTATTCGATAAAACATATTAAACAATGAATGAAGTAAGCGGAGGAAAACAAGATATACCTAATACTTCTACTTGGGAGACGTTGCCCGGGCAGTCCGCATCGTTATCTACAATGCATCATCATCATCAGTCGCTGCAACAAGATGCAAATCCAACGGTTACGCAAGTTATAGTTCCTACACCTGTAAAACTTCAAGCACCTATGTTAAATTCTACGCAAACCGTAGCCGATCATTGTTCGCAACTTGGACACATGCAACAATCAAATTTAATAACACAGGTAATTATACAAAAGTTTACAAAATTGAAAAGCAATTTCTGAACAAATCTAATTTAAAATAATTACATGTAAATTATAATAAAATATTTTGTTTCTCTAATAACATTTATGTCAACGATTACAGGGTACACCGCCAGGAACATTCGCAGAACCTGAATTGTCGCCTGAACTACAGCAACAAGGATGGAAAAAGTGTTGGAGTAAACGTGAAAATCGTCCATATTTCTGGAACAAATTAACAGGAGAATCTTTATGGGTAATACCACCTTTGAAACCTCAGGTACTAAGGTATATAATTTGATTGTAAATTAATAGAAACATAAACTTATACGTGTCAACTGTATCTATATTCAAGTTTGACCCAATTACGGATCCGCTTGGTATCTGCGGCGTTCCACCTGTTGCTGGAAACGGTGCCATACCTTCAGGAGGAACGCTCAAGCGTAGAGCTTCAGAGGACAGCGTTGTTCCAGCAGCGAAGAAATTTGTTTTAGCGTACGTTCAAGTATACAATATCTTCAATTACCACGTTGATATATCGTCAAACATTTTAACGCACTTTATTCTAACACTAGCGGCCCATGGGATTTGGAAATTCCAACGAACGTTATAATATACGAGAGAGCACCATCAAATTTACCGCACGTTCACCCTGAAACGGAAGCGTTACGTTGCGGTTTGCTTGCAAAATTGAGGCAATGTTATCAAGAATTGTGTCATACCCGTGAATCGATAGATGCCCCTAAGGATTCTTTCAACAGATGGTTAATGGAAAGGAAAGTTATAGACTGCGGCTCGGATCCCTTATTACCGAGTCAGTGTTTTCCGGAAATCTCCATGTCTATGTATCGTGAAATCATGAACGACATCCCTATTAAATTAGTCCGACCAAAATTCACCGGCGACGCGAGGAAACAGTTGTCACGATACGCAGAGGCTGCGAAGAAAATGATCGAATCAAGAGCGGCATCGTCGGAGAGTAGAAAAGTAGTAAAATGGAACGCGGAGGATACGTTTCAGTGGTTAAGACGAACAGTTGGTGCTACCTTCGATGATTTCCAAGATCGTCTGGCACATTTGAAACGACAGTGTCAGCCGCACTTAACAGAGACTGTAAAAGCTAGTGTCGAGGGTATCTGCCTGAAGATATATCATTTGTCAACAGAGTATGCGAAAAAGGTTAAACATAAAAACAATCAAATACTGAAAGATAACGGTTTAGGGAACGTTATACCGTTAGGAGGTCCAGCCAGTACTCAAAGAAAAGTTTGGTGTTATCCGGTTCAGTTTTCTCTTCCAACATCCCGGCTTCCACAAGTGGATTATCTTCCTGAACGTGAACAAACGATGTTGCGTTTCCACGGTGATACATTGTGTATTAATAACATGCATCTCGCTAAATTAGAACATCTGTACAGATACAATTGTTTCGACGACAAAAAGTTTGAAATGTTTTTGCCCCGTGTTTGGTGTATGTTAAAACGTTACCAAACGTATCTCGGGATCAACGAAGGGCAAGCAACGCAAATGGCTCTCCCGGTTACGGTCTTTGAATGCCTTCAAAGATCATTCGGCGTGTCGTTCGAATGTTTCGCATCTCCGTTGAACTGCTACTTTAGACAATACTGTTCAGCATTCGCCGATACGGATTCGTATTTCGGATCGAGAGGACCGTTTCTGGACTTCAGACCAGTCAGTGGCTCGTTCCAAGCAAACCCACCGTATTGCGAGGAACTTATGGAAGCGATGGTCAATCATTTTGAACGTCTTTTAGCTGATTCAACCGAGCCCTTGTCTTTTGTGGTATTCTTACCCGAATGGAGAGATCCAGCGCCTAACGCACTTATCAAATTAGAAAGCAGTCATTTTAAGAGGAAACAAGTAGTGGTACCAGCTATGGAACATGAATATAGACATGGATTTCAGCACATACTACCAAAGTATGTTTTAATGCTACAGGGTGTCCCAGAACTGGGGTAGGAACGGAAGAGGGATGATTGGTGAGGTCATTCTAAACAACTTTTTCCTTTGCCAAAATGTTGGTTAAGGCTTCGTTTTCGAGTTATTATCGAAAAACACTGGCCAATCAGAGCGCGCCGTTAGCGCGGGCCGAACCACGAGAGTGTTGGGTATGTTCCGCGCGGTCGTGATCAGGTGCCTCGGCACTACGTCGGTATGATGGGATTCGTTGAATAGAAGTTGCATCGGATAATGAATAAAAAAAAGAAAAGAATAATTGTATCGAATTATTGATTACTCATGAACAACGAATCTTATTACACCGACGTGGTGCCGATGCACTTGATCACGACCACGCGGAACATACCCAACACTCGCGTGGTTCGGCCCGCGCTAACGGCGCGCTCTGATTGGCCAGTGTTTTTCGATAATAACTCGAAAACGAAGCCTTAACCAACATTTTGGCAAAGGAGAAAGTTGTTTAGAATGACCTCACCAATCATCCCTCTTCCGTTCCTACCCCAGTTCTGGGACACCCTGTATATGTTTGCATATTAAAAAACAGTAAAGTTACAAGTATGTTTCTATTTCAGAGGTGAAGTTAATATTAGAGCAGCACATGGTACTTTAGTAGTATGGTTACAAAATACTGCTGGTACTGCTCGTTGGGGACCCACCGAGGAAAGGGTTGAAGCATTACTAGAAGCATGGCGTCCGGGTAGAGAAAGAGAACGAGATAGACAAGAACTTTTATCACCGCCAAGGCAAACGCATCAACCGATACCTTCAATGCCTATTCCGGTTTTAACAACGCCTACAACTCCAACAGTACCGTTACAAACATTATCTACACATCCTATATAATTATTATTAAATTAAAAGGAAGGGTAGCAAAAAAAAGTAAAATAAGTTTGATGCTTTTATTTTCATTTTTTTTTTTTCTGAAATTGGTCTGTCACAGAGAATATTTGATATATAATTTATCAATTCATTAACGGCACGTCGTGTGAATAAACTGTTTAATATGTTTCATTATACATATATATATATATATATATATATATATATACACCCTTCAGATATTAGTTTTAATCTTAATTTATTTCATCTGAAGAACATAAATTGGTATATGAATAGTTATGTATACATGCATACATAAAATATTATTTAAATATTATATTTTATTATAAAAACATAAAAATTTTATCAAAATTCCTTCTATTAAGAATAGCAAAGATTTATTGCTTACTAATTATGAACTCTTTTGTGATGATTATCAGAGAGTGCAATTCAATTCCATTACCTATTTTCACAAAAAAAAAAAAAAAAAAAAAAAAAAAAAAAAAAAAAAAAAATGTTGAAACGTGTAAAATGTGACAATGAAAAATATGTATCTATTATATAGGTATAAAGAAGAAAAAACATTATTCGAGATAATTGATATAAAATCACGTTGCGTGGAGTCTAATCTTTGTAATAGTGTTAATTGTTGGTAATTAAATAAGAAGACTTTGTAAAACGTGATACCTTAAGTGAGGTACTTGCCATGCAAGCAGAAATTGGTACTAGTATGAAAAGTTAAGGAAGAAATGCAATAGTTAAGTATGCGTGCCGCGTGCCTGTGTGTGTAAATAATGGAAGTACATATTATATTTGCTTGTTTTTAATTAGAATATTAGTTTATACGAAAATAATTTAAAGTAATATCCCTTTTTATACCTTTTATCCATGACAATCTTTTCTTTTAATATGAAATAACAAAACTATGTGGAAACCCCATTTTTTTCTAAATGGATTATCAGTGCAATATTTTATACAAATCTTTAATAGGACTTATACAGAAATATATTAACTTCTTTCACAAAAGACATTTTTTTGTTACTTTTCAATGAACTTTTCGACTTTGAAATTAATATTTCATAGGTTTACGTGTTCAGAAAGTATACTGAAATGGAATAATCCATCTGTCTGTTTATAAAATCATTTGTAACAAATTTATAGAAATCACTTCTTAAATCAAGCGTATCTGGATGGAATGACCTGTTCAATCTGCGCATGCATACATTCATATCGATGTTATTTAATAGTTACAAAATGAGATTAAGCACAGAATTTTTATACGATAAAAAGAATACTTCTATCTTGTAACAGCATTTCTCCGGTTGCTAATGTATTACAATTAAAATTTATCAAAATTAAATATCAAATATAAAACATTTAATTTCTTAAAAGTAATGGTATGTTTCTTCTTTAAAAATACCGTACATGTATGTTATAACATTAATTTCATTATTTCTGTTTATAGATAATACATATATATGTGTATAACATGTACATGTAACATATCTTATACATTTTGTATATTTTTATTAATAATAAAACTGTACATAACTGTACATATATCGTATATACATAAAGCACTTGTGCATATATAATTTGTAAAATTTAAGATAATATAGAAAAGTTTACGGGCACCTATTATTTTAATACTTACAATTCCCATGAAGATAATAAAGTAACATGTTCATAAATATATTGTACAATTGTCAAATACTGTACAAATAAATATATAAAATTTTACAGTTTACAATTTGCTATTATTGAAGTAGAACAATGTTACTTTCTTTTTCTATATTTATAGATATTAAAATATAATGAAATGTAAAGGAAGAAGGAGCAGGAAAATTCATTTGATATGAATAATGTGAATAATTGATGATCATTCTTTATTTAATTGTTTCTTTTCAACACTTTTTTCCTTTATTATTTTCAGGACGGGTCATATTAATTTGTCACATTATTTATGTTTTAGATTCATTGAAATGAAATTTAATTTCATATAAATATAGTATTTTGTAATACAAAACTGTTCAATCATTATTAGTAAGTAATAAAAATATGATAAAATCTTTTTCTTTATAGTACATTATGTGCAGTATTTACAATATACAATCTTATATATGTTAAATATATATAACAATTTATATTTATTATATTAACGTACCTAGATATCGCAAAGTAGGATTTATTATTCGTAAGGAGGGAAAGTATGTTAATCGCTAAAGGTATAAGAGAATAAATAATGTTGTATTATACTAATGTTATCGTACGAATAAAGTAGTATGTTACGTGTTATTTTTTTTTTTTTTATAAATTGTAATTGAAATTTAACCGAAAGAAGGTATTTATTCTTTTGTTTCTTTTACTTTATATAAAAATTTAATATTTTACATTACATTATTTACATCTCATACTATTTACATTATAAATAGAGATATTTCTTGGTCATTTATTTTAATCAAAGTTTCGGTTTTTCGATCATGTAGAAATATTTTCAGCATCGTAATGGGATTGTAGAAGTAATAAAATTTTATTCAACAGTTTATGACCTTGATTCTTGTCACAAATTAAATGATAAATAGATTTCTCTTCCATATCCGTGATAAAATCTATTAATACTAATTTTATCGCATGAAGATCAAACGTGCAATGATTGTTTCCAAACTTATATTTATTAAAGCTTATTGCTTCCTCATTATTTGAAAACACATTTAATCGTTTTTTAGCTATAAATGTTAAGAAATCGAAGAACAGACTATAATCCATTCCGTATGTCGACTTTAATATTAGTTGACACTGCTCTGCCCAATCGTGCATATCTTTGCAATCGTTAACTTCTTTCATTACAGAGGATAATTCCTTTTTCAAACCATGCCATACATTTAGAATATTACACCCGTTGATCCAGTTATGGTTAACAGAAATTGTGTCTTCCTATAAATGAATATTACAGTAAATGTTATGTATTTTCCTTTTAATTTTAAAAACAATGATCAAGTACACTTACCAAGTTCCAAACTTGATGATGCCATCCAGATGGTACGAACATAATTTCACCTTCTGCTTGAATCACATCGATATACTTTAATGCACGTTTATCGTAAGCTTTATATTTTGTATAATCATTAAGCTCGTCAGAGGTTGCATCGTATATTAATTGTCCATGGATATCTCGCAAAAAGTCTTCTTGACCCGGAGGAAAGAGTAACCAATGTTTCCTCCCAACTATATTCGCTGACCAACTATAAGATCCAAATACATCAGCGTGCAACGGTGTCCTAGATATGAAAAATCTGACCTTCTTACTTATGCAACTTCGAAAGATAAGTAATGTAATGTTTAAGAAATTTGTAAATATTCATTTACCATGTTCCTTTTGGTCCCATATACACGAATCGATAATCATCATTTAATTCTGGATTAGCGATATAATATTCATTTAGCCAATCAGATGCAAAATATTCGGGGACATTATACATTGGAGCATTAGGAAATAATTTTGGACAATGCCAATCTTTTAAATATAAAAGCGGCATAGAATCTGAATAATTACTTTTTGCATATTCTGTCCAGTAATTTAAGTAATCTTTCATTTCCATATCATCTTTGGATTGGGAATTATAATACTTTTTATTGCAATCTGCGACTGGTACCACACAATTTCCTATAAGAACACAATTTAAGTGAACATTGTGTAAAATATGTTATAGATTATGTACATTTAAAGCACTTTGAAAGTATATACATAAAATATATATTTATAATTAATTTACCATACAATATATCAAGGACATCAAAATCTGGTGCACCATCCAGGTTCCACTGTCTTCTACATGACCAATTTTCTGTTATGTTTGATTTAAAGATACATGGTTTATTCAGGTTTATATATTTTGAAAAGAATTCATCGTATGTGATTGATGTATTAACATAATCTATCCAATCAATTATGGCGGTATTTTTCTCGGTACATAACCTGTTATTTTTAATTTCAAGTTCGCGTAACATTGCGCGCTTTCACCTTTCACTAAAACTTGTTAACTGAACATCATTACATTTTTATACCTATACAAATACTCGTTGTAATCAACAATGATGTATAGCCGTTTGTAAAAGCTTGCGACATTTCTTTTATTTAAGTAGATAATAATGTCACAACTACTTAATTTAAAATCACCTTGAAATTTCATTAACCGATGCGCTTGCGTATGTATTTTCTATAATATATTTTTAATCATTCATTATTTATTACGATACTATAAAAGTGTAACTGTATTGTTAATTTTCAATGTAAAATTCCTGTAAAATAATGAACATATATATATATGTATAAGGTAAAGAGTCATGTAAGTAATCATGTCAAATTTTTCTTTATAATTATACGTAAAATAAATTTGTAATTACAATTCCTGTGTATACATATATATAGAAAAATAATTAAGTTTAGTTATAATAAGGAACATACCCCTAAGGGTATAAATATTATATCTAAATTATCCCTTTATTGTAATGTTAATAGAAAATATTTAAAAGATTGATGAGTTTGAAAACTATTGTTATATATATAATGTGTTTTTATAAAATAAATTCTTAAAATCCCTAGCTTTCGGCCAATCATAATGTAGATATAATGAAAAGTTGTTGTCTTTAGAGAGGATGTGAAAAGTTTTTAAGAAAACACCAATGAAAATATGCTTGCGAGCAAAAATAAAAAGTTGAAGTGAAACATCTCTCATGTATATATATGCGTTATAGTTCATGCATGAATATGCAATATCAAAACAAGAGTTTAAGGGCGGCGTGCAAGAAAACAGAAAAAAAATTAAAATAATTACATTAAATGTATAGTAAGAATGAGAATGGCGTGCAACAAGGAGAAATCGTATTATAGCTCGTGTATACGAGCAGAAATGAAATTTGACTGACCGATGATTTCACCAATAAATCAACCGGCACGAAGCGTGCTTAAAGGCGTTGTCATTGTAATAGACATTAATCACGTTATTAGTTGCAATAAATTTATAAAGTGGTTTTTGAAATTTTTACATACAATTTTTATGTTGAGATTTATGATTTTTTGTTGATCATACATGGTGCGTTTAAGCATCAATGTCGATAATAAAGAATGTATATTAATATTGCTGATAGCTTTATCAGCTGATTGTCATCTAAAAGCAACATGTGAAGTATGTGTTGTGAGGAACTTTAAACTAAACCATCTATACAATCACCGTGATATTAAGTATTGTTGTTTCATTTACATTTCGTAAACTTTCATTAGAGTAAAAACAATAGAGACATCGACAAGTCTCTTACACAAGAATGGGGAATAAAAGTAGTTGCTGTGTTAATTCCAGTCCACAAGTTGGACGTAAGGAATTAGAATCTGAGGGAATCACGCGCGGTCTTGAGGAACATCTGCCGGAAGGTGGAATTAGCGTTAATAATCTACAACACATTAGCGAACGTGAGCCAGAAGATTGGGATTCAGATCCATCGTTACATCCATGCGCTGGTACTATTTTTATGGAACGGTCTAAACAAGCTATCGAAAGTATGTGCATCTTGTTATCTCTAAATTCTTTGGATTATAATTCATTAATCTCTGTTAATTATATAATTTATGTTATACTTAAGAAAGGTGTGATTAATTTATTGAAAATTTCTTTTAGATGGTATGGTAAGAAAAAAAAGTCAGCACCAAATTGCAGATGTAAGGTCTTTAAAAAAAAGTAGTAGTTGCAGTACAATATACTTAGATGACAGTACTGTTTCACAACCAAATTTAAAAAATACTGTGAAATGCGTTGCCTTAGCTGTTTATTACCATATTAAAAATAGAACTTCGCAGCGACAAATTGATATATTTGATGAAAAACTTCATCCTTTAACGGTAATTTAATTCCACCTACATTTGTTGCCAATTTGTAAAACCATTTATAAATATTTTATTTATTTATTTACAGAGAGAAGGCGTTACAGAAGATTATGATAAGCAAAATCCGGAACACAAACAAATTTACAAATTCGTGAAGACCTTATTTAATGCTGCTCAACTTACAGCTGAATGTGCCATCATAACGTTAGTTTACTTAGAACGTTTACTTACCTATGCGGAGATAGATATAACACCAGCTAATTGGAAGCGAATAGTGCTAGGTGCTATTTTACTAGCATCAAAAGTTTGGGACGATCAGGCAGTATGGAACGTGGATTATTGCCAAATTCTTAAAGATATTACGGTAGAAGATATGTAAGTCTACATTTTCTTTTTATAAAGTAATAAGCTTACGCGTCAAGAATTTTTCATGAAATGTTTCATATTTAATTAGGAATGAATTAGAGAGGCAGTTTTTGGAAATGCTGCAATTCAACATAAATGTTCCTTCAAGCGTATATGCTAAATATTATTTTGATCTCCGCACACTTGCAGAAGCAAACGAATTAACATTCCCTAGCGAACCACTCAGTAAAGAAAAAGCTCAAAAGTTGGAAGCTATGTCCAGAGTTTACGAAGATAAAGTTACTGCTGAAGCTTTACGTACTGGTTTTAAAAAATGGTCAAGTTTAGATAACATATGCATAGGTGGACCTAGACGTAGTATTGCCATTCTATCCTAAATATCGGAGATAAGTGGATACATTACTTATGTCCATGCCTTCTTAATCAAGGTACGTGAACGAGACAAGTTTTGCTGTCCTACTCTAGTATCGGTGACTTCAAAAGTTTCACAAGCATATCATTTTAACTATTCGGTAATTTATATGTTATTTTCTTTAATTATTTTAATGCAGTACAAGTTTTATAAGCGTTATTCTTTGATCGGCCTTTATAATTCCACTTTTTTCCTTTTCGTTTTTTTCTATGGTTCTAATAATAAAAGAATATGGTATGTGAGTTATTAATATTTTCATCAAAAAGAAATTTATGCAACTCAATTCTCATTGAAATTTTCGTTTTATTCAAATAACTTATGAAAGAACTTTCTTCGGTATCCGAAAAAATTAATTTTTAATCAGGGACCTTCTAATGCATTAACATAAAATATTACATAGGTGAAGTTAATAATAAAACTTTTTACTACTAACAATGTCAGTGCTTCTTTTATTAAATGAAACAAATTGTGATATATGTAAGTTATTTTTTATCTAAGATAGTTTACATATTAACTAAATGATTTAATAGATAAGCTTATAGCAAATTCACTAGTAACTATATAGAAAATTATACAAATATTATGCATTATGAGGTTTCATTTAAATTAAACTTTATTCAATTTTTCATTGTGCATAAATATTATGCATTTAAACAGAGTTATAAATTAAAATTCGTATATTTGTATTTGAATCATTTTCCCTTCAATTTTCTGTTCATATTTGTTTTAAATCAAATAAAAAGTATTTTTTATGAAATTATTATTATAAAGACAGTATACATTTTTTGAAGTTTTTGACAATGCAGATTATAATTATCGTTTCTTTTTATATTTTACCGATATGATTTTCTTTATTATTTATCCAGTTGTCAATTACATGCGCAGATAAAGTAACTTTTTAAACACAACTAATTATTTGTAAGCGTAACTCATTATATGCATCCTGTGTGATCAAAATCGTCAAGGTTTGAAAATTTTTTTTTTTAAACCATTTAATTCTGTTTAATTATTTCAAGTAAGCGTTATAAATAATTAAACAGAATTATAAGAAACTTACATTATTATTAATTTTTCATTAGTTCTAATATGTAATATATTTGCATCTATTACATATTCAGTTTAAAGTATTTTTAATCATATGTCCATGTTTAAGCGTAAAAATAATTTTCTAATATCCTACTCATGAACTGAGACATGCCTTAAAAGGATAGTAGAATTCTTCATGAACATGCCAATTTATTTATATGTTAATATTTCCATTTGTTCAACCAATTATTTAAAAAATCATTTTTTATCTCATTTAATTAGTTTTTTGTACATAGTATTAAAAATGTCACTGTAAAATGACATGTAAAGTATTATCAAAAGTAATGTATGTATAAGTAAAATTTCTTTTAGTTTGTCATGATCTTTTTCTTGATTTATGCGTGTTAAAATCAAATCTAATGATTGTGTATATTTCTGTACATACAGGATTTTGATCATTCAGTTACATATATGATTATTAAATATTAATATATGAAAATATTCTTATATTAATTTGTAATTAATAAAAGAAGGTCATAATTTGTAACAATTACAATATTTTAATAAAACTATTAGTAAATCAGCTTGTTTATTATGAATAAAAAATTATACTTATAAGTAGAATTTATTAAAGAATTATTTGCGTTTGCAATCAATTCTGATAACGTAAATAGTATTTAGTTAATAACGAATTTTTGTCTTGTAGAGTAAACAAATTAAAAAAATTGATTTTAATCCGTTTAAAATAAAAAGAAAATAACAAATTTCTGTAAAAATTAGTGTATTTTAATTTAAAATATTTTATTTTATATTTTTTTTTAAATAAATCCTTGTATGTGTAATTTATACAATTTTCATCACATCATTTTTATACTTTATAAATGAAACTTACTATAAAAGAGAAGCTTTAAAAGTAACATTTAAATATTGATATAAAATTGAATAGTGCCAAAATATAATGGTACATCTAAATAATTTTGAATGGCATTAATAGTGTAAGCAGCCAATAACATTAACATATCTACATTTTCTGCCTAGGTGTTTTAATTTTTTTTCTTTTATACAGAATGCAAATATATTTTTTATCGTAATGAAGAGTCAATTTTATACATTGTTAGAAAATTATGTAATACGACACAGAAGCTAGACGAAGAGAAATAAAATGTAAATAAATAAATACGCGAAAAAAAAAAAACAAATAAAATACTTAAAAGTAATTACAGCTACATATACGATACACATTTCGTTCATTTTAATATCCTAATTTCTTAAAGGATTAAGATTTATAACTTCTTATATATAATTACTCTTAGTATAAAATATTTTTAGAGATAAAATTACATTGTAAAGACAATCTTGAAATCTTGTTGCGTCCTATAGTTATGCATATTACTATTATGCTTGCTCTATGTATCCTTGTAAGTTTATACTTGTTGATTATAATACTGTAATAGTAATTGAAATGTTATTTATTTAATATTTATCGCTGAAGTTTATTTTTTCTTGCTGGTACGTAATGTTATTTAAAATAATTTATGTTTCTCCAAATTGCTATCATTATCATTAATGAAGATTTTTTGTATAAACATATGTTAATTTAATAATATAAACTTTTGTATAAAAATAAATTTCTGTTGTATTACTACTTTCTAACAAGTTTAACATATCTATACATATTAATGTTTTTAGTGTATCAATATATTGTGTAAAAACTGATAATCTCATAATAGAAAACATTCTCAAATTTGAGATGCTTAGAAAGTTTTATCATACAGGGTGTCATCGATCTAGGGTTGCAACCACCAGAAGGGGGTAAATCTACATGTAAAAAAGTAAGTTAAAAATGTAGAGTGACATTTTTTTCGGCGGTAAACTAATTACAAATTCGACTCCTGCACCATCTATAAAAAAAGTCGCGAAAACTACTCAACAACTTACCGACCTATCCTGCGACAGTCGGTAAGTTACCGAGTATTCAGTTTCCGCGATTTTTTTTATAGATGGCGCTTTAATTTTGCAATTTAATTGTAATTAACGTTTTAATTTGTAAAGCAATTGTGTAACGTAGAAATAAACACTTCTGCTTCTTCGACGTCCAAATCTAGACTGACGCGCTTCAATGCAGAGCTGCTAATTATGTTCTTTGCCTTTGTCTAATAATTTTATTGAGAATGTATTGTCAGTGCTAATAAGTTGTTTGTAATAGTGATGGCTAGAGCCGACTACAGATAGTACATAGAAGACTAAACATGCCTTTGTCACAGTATAGGAAAGAACAGTAGGCTTATTCCGTGTCGGCACCTTTGATCTAATGACTAAAAGATCGCCATATTGTTGGTTGTGCGCGGGCTTTAATTTGAAAAACAATCGGTACAATCAAAAAGAGATTTCGTAATAGAATACTATAAAAAGCCTATTAAACCGTATAACTGTATAAATGAAGTTCATATTGTCTACCTTTTGCATCCTTCTGAAAGAGACGTACTTGGGTTTTCAAATATTTGGATGTCTGTTGTGGAAAATATTTGTCTAGGAGTGCATCTAATGAATTAATGTCTTCTTTTCTTTTTTTTGCTTCATGCAATTGCGATTCCAAATTTGCTATTTTTCTTTTATATGCTCTTATTTGTTGATAAAGATGTGCTTTTTGCGGAGATGTAGAAGATAGTGACAAAGATGTTTGAGTTCCAACTTCTGATACATCTGACACGTTTGGTATTGTTTTGTCAATATGTGTGTTGTCCTGGTTGCTTTCATTGAATATATCTATTGCAATATTTTCTTCCTGTATATTTAAATTGTTTATGCAGTTTATTTCTACATTTAAGCTTTTTGAACTTGATTCTTCATCTGCAACATATCATATCATATATAATTCCAGGAAATACAAAAAGTAAATTTTAGTAAACACTAAAGCAAACAGAAATATGACTGTTATAATTTCCCATTTGTAATATTACTACAATTATTGTAATATTATTATATTTTATTTGTAAATAACTTACCATTATTTCTCACAATGGAACTTGGAACAGCATGTGGCTGTAATCTTGTTCTCTCATAATTTAAGAACATGTTCGTTGCAAAATGAAGCTTACATACTCTATAACCACTATAGAGTTGTGTGGCTGTCTTTACAAGCAATTCCTCTCTGTTACAAGCTAATATCCACAATTTTGACCTTTATACAATACATAGGAAAATACTTTCATTAATTGTACAGCTACTGATTAATTATAGAACAATTTAAAAATTAAATCGAGCTTAACTTTAAAGGTACTTTTAAAATTTGTTTAATATTTGAAAATTGTTCATGCAATCGGCTTTAAAAACCACAATAAATGGAAAGCAAGTAATATAATAAACTGACCTTTCTACATCTTTTGGGAATCGAAACAAAGTTTCTTTTATTCCTCGTTCCTCACTGCTTGCACTTGGGCACCCTTTGAAAGAACAACGATATCCACCTCTTGCATTCATATTTTATATCTATATAATTACTGAATTTAGTGATTTCACTGATTTATAAAAATGAAGTCTTTTATTAAAACAAAGACTTGTACTGAAGAAAATGACAATGAAAGTGAAGGACGCGTGCCTTGAACCTTCCGGTCGCGTAGAACAGTGGAATGGGGCATAATGGGGTTGTATCGAGGCGACAGCGTCAGGCCCAGAGCACCCTAATAAAGAGGGCGCGGTTGGAGAAATTGTTTCCTCCTGGTGCTGGTAGATGGCACGATAATCGGGAGCGTGTGGCGGCCGTAGTCGATAAAGAAGATTGAAGATTATTCTCATCGCCACCTTTTTATAACTACGTTTATTGTTCATTTGTCATTTTAAACAAATTGGAATAACTTTTGTAACTATTCATTCTTCGCCAAATTCTCCAAGCCTAAAGACGTGTCAACCTTTATATCAATATTTCCAAATATATATTTTCACAATTGAAGCGTTGACCATTCATTTTAAATACGGAATAAGTCCTCCACAAGCGTGTGGGGTGATGGTAAAGTAGATCAAGTGCACGGTAAGACACCTCTGTCGGTATAGCGTGTTCTGATTTACCTACACCTCACTTCGTATATAAGTTGAAACTCTATTTAATCACATTTAACTCTAAACTGATAAACTAATTAAAATCAAATTTTAAGAGTTTTAATAATATAAAATATTTAACAAATAACAAGAAACACTAAAGATAATCAATCGTTAAGACGATGGCGTTCAAACGTGTAACACAATAAACTTGGAACTAATCAATTTGCATCACTATACATTTTTACGCAAAAGTTCACAAGAACTCAAACGTACTTTAAAGAAAATCTCACAAGAGAAAATACTGCAAGGAATGCGATTCAGAAATCTACACGGCACCGTTTTTAATCGACGTGTCTCAAAGCCGGAGGAAGATGAACAAAAGCAATTCAGGACAACTGAATAAAAGTTAAATAAACAATTTGAAATCGAGCGCCGGAAGCGGAAACGTATAGGCGACGACGCGACGACGCTACAAGCGTTGTGGCGGCCGACGTTAATGTCGATAAAGAAGATAACGTCGTCAAGATTATTCTCACCGCCACCTCTTTCAAACTATATTTATCCGTTCATTTGTCATGTTTAAAACAAATTGGAATTAATTTTATGAACATTCATTCTTCACTAAATCCTCAAACCATTAAGACATGTCAACCTTTCAAAATTCCCTTTTCAATAAATCTTTTAATTTGTACAACCGAATGTTTTAACTTTTAATTTTTAATATGGGATAAGACCCCATAAGCGTTGTGGCGGCGGCGGGGTACGAAGTCGGTAATGAAGAAAACGCCTTCAAGAAAAATCTCAACGCCGCCTTTATTAAAACATGCTCGCTGTTCATTTATTATATTTTAACAAATTCAAATAACTTTTGTGAACATTCATTCCTTCGTTAACCATCATACCGTAAAGACATGTCAACCTTTTCAAAATTCCAATTTTAATAAATCTTTATAATATTCTGAATCCATATTCTGGTGACCTCGACGTGATTTAAAAGAATACATACAGCAGCAATAACTTAGTTTCGCAAAGAAGGAAGACCTTAATTTTCTCTGTCAAAGAAATGTTTTATTCGCCTGTTCACGACAGAAGACTTTAAATGAAACTGGAGGAACCAGCAGCAGTGCAGTAAGCACCACCTTTTTCAAATCCTCCTGAGGCAAATATCGAAACGGCTCGACTGGTTAAACTTCCACCATTCTGGAAGGAGAATCCTTCTTTATGGTTCAAACAAGTCGAAGCAGCCTTCTCCGTCGCCTGAGTCGTAAGCAATGACTCGAAATACAAATGTATCGTCAAGAGACCTCCTCTTTGGTATCGTCATGCATCTGGAACAAACAATTCTACCAATCGTCTCCGACATCCTCGAATCGCCGCCGGAACATGGAAAATATGAAGCCCTGAAGCGCCGAATAGTCACCGTTTTCGCAGAAACTACTGAATCAAGGCTAAGGAAACTACTTCATGAACAGCGAGCATGTTTTAATAAAGGCGGTGTTGTGTTGAGATTTTTCTAGAAGGCGTTTTCTTCATTACCGACTTCGTAGCCGGCTGCCACAATACTCCCCCCCCCCCCCCCCCCGGCCCCGAGTGAAGAAATTGTAGAAAGGACTTTCTTCAAGATACGTCCAAAGTTGAGGCTTGATCAAGTATTGGTCACCCTAGGAGAGAGGTTACGATTTCTGGTCGCATGTACATCTTGTATGTACATACTATATTAATAATATTAATAATGATGCATGGTGTATTGTAGTTCCTAGTTCGATTCCAAACTTGTTTTTTTTTTAAATAACGTATTTTGAACAATAAGTAATGGTACATTTTTATATTATACGTGATCAAATATTTGATTCTCACGTGGTGTCAGTTCGGATTTACACATCATGCATTTCTTTGGCATTTTGAATGATATTACAAAACAAGACAAACAAAGCAAAGTAAACAAGCGCTGCTGCGCATGTGCAGCTAGACAAAGACAGAAAGACCCTTTATGCAACTTTCTCTTTCTATTCCGCTCTCAGCCTCTCGGCGCTGTCACGTGGTCTATCCTTATATATGGCAGTGACTGTAGATAGTAGTCACTATCTATAGTCACTGTATATGGTCATGCGCGAGAGACAATTATTAGTACGCTTTTTGGCAGAGTGATCCTACTGTTCTTTCTTTTATTGTGCCTTTGTTCTGGAAGGATTGTGAATTTATGCCTCGAGAACGAACACCATCTGTTCTATCCTAGTACAAAAATTTGTGCGCGAGAACATTTAAATAAAATCATATAAATTACGATACAGATTCCTTCCGACAGATCAATATTTATTTAATTTAAATTATTATTATGTATCAATATCAGATATATGTATACATGAAATAAATGCAATACACACCATTCGAAATAATACTTTTATATAATTAAATTATAAATCGTACAATTACATGTTAAAACGTTTATGAACAGGAACAATTTTTTCTTGTTTTATTTTTACATCTTCATAAATTTTACTCCAAGATCCATAATTCCAATTTACCATTTTTTCCATTTCATTTAAATATTCTTCAGCATGTTTTTGTACAATTCTGTAACAGAAAAATATCATTAAATATAGAGATAATTATAAATTCTATTTATTTTGAAAAATTTCGTTAAATTTACTTGTACGTGTTATTAGTATTTAATATTTGTAAATATTCAAGACACAGATCTGCAAAAGTATTTAATGTAATAAGAAGTTTTGTATGAAAAAACCTATATCTTCCCTTCGCTATGGCAATTGTTCTATCCATACATGCTACACCCTCTTCTATTTGACCTAAAAATTAAATTATGTTTTTATTTAAAATTATTTTAGATATGTGTAGAAATTAATTCGGTGCTTTTTCCTTTTTTAAGTGAAGATTTATTCCTTAAAAATCATATTAACTCCAACTTTTGAAATCATATGCTCGAGCCACTTTTTAAATCCATAGTAAATCCAGAATATTTAAATTTTAAATAGTAACTAAGAAGGTGTTATAGCCACCTAATATTATAAATACAATTTTGTTATACGAACCACTTTCCATATGTACTTTAGTCGCAGCAGTCATAATATTTATCAATGGTTCTTTATTTTGCCAATCCATATTTTGGAGACAAAATACCCTTTCAATGTCTTTTGATTTACAGGATTTCAATGAAGTACAAGGCTTACATTTACAAGTAAAATGAAACTGACTTTTTAAAATTTCCTGTCTTTTCTCCATTTCCATATGTCTGAAATGTGGACCTATTAACAATTTTATAACGTTAATATTTACATTACTCTATAAAATACTCAGGAACGAATTTGTATTATATGTTAACGTAACTAGGCTTCTATCTAATAACGCCAACATTACCATACCATAAGAAATAAAAACTTCTTCATCTGCTAAAATATCTGTCGCAGCTTTAATAATGATATATTGATCCATGAAACTGCAATATTAAATCTTGTAGTATACATATCACATAAATATACATGTACAATTTCAGTCAAGCATATGCTGCGCATACTTACATAGTAATAATATTAGGATTACAAGAATGGTTCATCATACTCGTAGAAGGGTAAATTCCTGATGCCACAATATCTTCCGTATTGTGACTTAACAATGTATTTGAACTTGAAATTGCATGCGCATTAGCAACAAGTTGAAGAATATGTTTTAAGAGTAAAGAAGCAACATAAAGTTGTTTGTCATCACGAACTGATTTAAGCGGATCATCAAAAAATTTGTTCATTAAAAATTCTTCAAGAGGCAATTTAAAGAAATCGGTGTATTTCGACAAATATATAGTAAGCACAAGAGCTGTCTGTAAAAATTATCATTGCATAAACTAAATGCAAAATTTGATCTCGTTTTTTAACAGTGACGGGCAGATCGAGTACCAGTTGAAGAATTCAACGTACTTACACTTGCCCGTCATCTTTTACTGATATACTTACAACCCCATAGTCTATTAAATCATCCACAGGAATTTTATTAAAATGGGTAAGTAAGCTATGCATTTCATTAAATCTGACTGTATCAGTCATAGTTGAACAAGTAAGTAGAACTTTCAACGCTAAACGTCCTATTCCAATGTTCTTCAATAAACCCATTTGGCTTGCTACGCATTCCCACATATGGTACAATGACCATGCTTCGCTTAAACATTCTTCGCTACAGTAACAAGTATTCAAACAATTTTTACACCTAAAATAATACAGAACATAAATGCTTTAATATTTAATTGTTTAATTATAAATATTCTATATTAATTATAAATAACTATAATATAAATATTTAATTAAATATTTTATACATAAAATTTACTTACGGAACAGGAACATCTCTAGTTAAACAATTGCAATGATGGCAATAATCGCTCAACCCATCAAAGTTCACTGATACAAAACTTACAGGCTTTTCTAAGAAAAGAATTTCACCCCTTTTTATCATCCTATTTGCTACCACATGTCTCCCTACTTCTTCGTTATACTTTTTATCTATACTACTTGATGCATTCGAAAAATTCTCATTTTCTTCAAACTTAATTTGAGATTTTATTTTTGATAAACCATTACTCTTTTGTTCATTAGGTTCTATACTTGAGTCAGAGAGTGTTATTTCAGAAATCTTTTTCTTAATATGATCTGCAAATAAAATAGTTATAGAGATTGTTAATACGTAAACTCATGATGTTACCTTTCATTGCAGCAACAATGTAGTCTGGATTATTAATCATTTCTTGTACTTTAAATAACATTTCTTCTGCTAATTGCCTCTTGCCTAATTTCAAATAACATTGAGCTGCGCGCAAATAGATCTTGTAACACCAATTTATAGGATAATTTAAGTTCAGTGCTAATTTGATATCATTTATACAATCCTTAACATAATAACAACATATATTAATTTATTGGTTTACAAATTTACCAATTGAGCCATTCGCAAGCCAAAGTGATTAACTCCACTTTTTGAATTTTTTTTAAATTTTAGTGTCAAAGCACTTGATTGATGTTTAACTTTTTATATTTTATAAATTTCCCTACTTTTTGTTTTTTTTTTCAAGCTAATCGATTTGGCAAATAGACAGCTCATTTACCAAACTTTCAAATTTTTAAAATTGCTAATTTGTTCTATAAAATGCTTCGGAAAAAAATTTTATTATATATTGGCTTTATTTCTAGGATGGACCATGTTCATTTTTTCTATAGTATTCCATACCTTAGAAATTCGAAAATTTGAAAATTCGGTATTTCTAATTTTATAAATTTCCAAATTTGAAAATTTCAATGTTATAAATGGAGAAATTTGGAAACATAGAAATATCAAATTTTCAAATTTGGTAATTTGGAAATTGGCATGTAACTTACATTGTATCTATTTAAATAAAATAAACAGGCAGATCTATTTGCATATGCAATTGACAGTTCATTACTGCTTGGAGGACTGTACAATGCACACAATGTGTAAGATTTAATACTTTCAGTGTAATGTTTCTTTTGGAACCGATCATTTCCTTTCTTCCTGTAAGACTTTCCCAAATCCACAGATTTTAAATCTCTCTTGTCATAATAGCCTTCCAACAATAAGTGTATGCGTTTCCTAAATATATGAAGTTTACAGTAAAAGCGAATGTTATAGGCACAGAAAATATAAATACTTGCTTACATTAGATTTTCATTGTTTCGCAATTGTATAATCACTTCGTCTTCACGTTGTAACTTCTCCCTTGAAATACATGTATCTTTCAACTTGGATATTACAAGTTGTAATGCACGTGACAAATCCATTTCACTGTCGCTTTATTCTACTTTGCTGCAATTCATAAAAAACCATATAAGTATATAAGTAAAAGAACCTTAGTAACCATAGTTGCATGAAAATAATTGGACCAAATTACTTTTATATGTATGTTTTTCATTACCTTTATATTTTATACGGATTGCTATAAATGGGACTCCCACGATTACAGATGCAAACGGTACAAAACAAAAGCAGATACAAAACAAAAGCCGATACAAAAACAGTTCAAACTGATTGAGGAGTTATCGATCGATTTTCCGAAAGAAGAGAACACTAACCAGCAGCAGTGATGCCAGAACCGTGGGACGTGGGACAAATTTTTACCCTCTCCACGACGTCCCACGACGTCCCGACCAGCAGAAGTTCAATGGCTCGATAGATACTTACCATTTTATTGATTGATCCTGTGGCAGTCGGTATGACTGGACATGCCTTTGTTTTCGTCTGGAACCCCAACTCCCGGCGCCAACGGCCACCGGTTTTGTAAGGTCACATGGAGATATATTTCATAGAATATGTTGGTTATCATTGAAAACAATAATGTTGACGAATGGATGAAAATTGGGGGTTAAACTTTACTTTACCGGACCCAAAATTTTCGACATTTTTTTTTTTTAATCTATAGTTTTTGATGCGTAGAATCTGAAAATGCAAGGCTTAACTTTAAGAATCCAATGGTTAAAAAGTTATGAGCGTGTAAAGTTTGACACTTTTAGCGGATTTGCTATGTTACTGTGACGCCATATTGCCTTATATGTATAACCTGATTGGTTCTCGCATACCCTAGAACTTAACTTCCGCTTACCTTATTTAAAAACATATTGTTGTCGAAAAACCATCGCTACAGGAATTCGCATAATCTTTTGGCAAATTCGTCGTCGTGAAAACAATCCTTCCCCTTCAACCAGTCTTTTGCCGCCAATTCGATTCTATTTTCTGGGTATGGGTTCCATCACTAGTTGTATTTAAATTACTCATAAAATTGATACAGTAGAAGCAATAAATATAAACCTAACTAACTGACAGTATCAAAGAGTCACCCCAAAAACACGTTTTTTTATCAATTTTTTCCCACTCGAATTTCAAATCAATCAATCAATCAATCAATTCTATATAATGGTACAGTAATCTCAGAAAAAATTGAAGTTGAGCATAGGGGTAATTTTGGAGATACGGGAGGTTAATCTTACGAATATCTGAAAAGTCCTGCAAATGCCTGAAATACGTCCTGTAAATATCCTATGTTAGAAAACGGGATGTCTTAAGGATGTCGTACCGATATCTGACAGATGCCTTACAGACGTTTTAAAGATGTCTTATGAATGCCCTAAAGATATCTTATATATACCCTACAGATGTCATAAATATTGTTTAATTAAAGTATAATCGTTTTCAGTATAATAATATTTTGTTTAAACGTAGTCCGTTGAAAATATACAATGTTCGTTCAAAATTGTTTTGGGGTTATATGATTTCTGTCAAACGCTCTCCTCAGCCAATTTTGTATTGATACCTCTGTTGCTCTTTTGGTATCACCAAGGTTTGCCGTTTCAGCAGCAGCTGAAATAAGAATTTGTACATGTTCAATTATACAGAAATCATCATTGAAAACATTAAAAACAAGGCGATACTTACATATCACCAACCTAGCTAAATGCAAGGTGCAGAATACTTTCTTGCCCTTTCTTCCCAGCCAGCTGTATTTCAGTGCTAAGTTGTTGTCTATAACTGAGGACAACACCCTTTTTACAAATTGGTAGTTGTTGTCCCCCCCTATTTTTGCTAATTCCTGAATCTGGAAGTAAAATATTGTTTGTAAATTATGAAAGATAAAAGCTGTTTGATATATCAGTATCTTGCTTACTGCATCTTTAAAATGGTCCTCCTTTGCTAGGAAGGTTTCTAAGACCAATAAATCTTCTTCCCGCGTAAGGGGGAACTTCAGTCCCTCATATCTAGAATATAATGAAACTGGCTGTCTGCAACAGAGCCAACTTTGTGTGCTAATTTTAATTCCTTCATGTCAGCCGTCAAATCCATTAACAATCCGCGGATTAGATGGTTTTGCTTGATTATTGTATCCAGGTATTGATTTCTCTCTCTGCAGCATTTACACATCTCTGAATCATTGCATCCTACAAGTTGTTTGTTAGGTATTACATTTGTTGAAATACAATTAATCATGTTTAGAAATTATGTAAATGAATTAACTCACCGCTACTGCTGGGACCTGCCGTGGCTGTTACGGTGGGAGCTGCCGCGGATGCTAGGGCTGCATTCCCTGCAGCACTATCGCCGACCGTTGTCACTACAAATTGTAGAGAAAAGAATTACATACATGATTGAAATGATATGTTTTGTAATACCGTAGTCACATACTTTCCTTTCTCCCTTCCGTCATCGGTGGAGGCGAGGGTAAAGTCAGAGAATCACTCTCCGATTCCTCGCTCTCCGATGAGACAAATCTGCGAGTTCTTTTTCGTCTTCGCATTGTCTCAACTTCTGACTGAAGGTCGCTAATGTCCTCCGCTATCCTGGCTTTTTCTCTTGCTTTAATATAAGTATCTGAAAATGTGCAATAGCATGTGCTTACACGTGTATGTTATCTAACAATTTTAACTTACCAAAAATGCCGTGCTTAAAAGTTTGAATGGTATGGGTCGGCCAGGATAAATTTACCGGCTCGGACCTTTTAATTGCGGCTGTTAAGCTGTTTCTGTGCAACGGTGGCCAGTGGCATAAATCTCCTCGCATCCAAGCTGACGGGACAGCCTCGACGGTACCGTCTTCCACAAACCTCACGACGGTCCAAGTGTTTGCTGACATATTTTGTCTTCCTAAAAAATCTTAGGCGAGATTACTTGGAGGACCTTTCCATAAGAAGGGGAAACGTGCTGACGGAACGCATATGACCTGCCTCAAAACATTGTCCAAAAGGGTCTAGCCGGATAAGCATAGCGAATCCAGCTTTTCTTTATCTTAAGAGGCCAAGGCAATTGGTTCAATATTGTATATTTCTTCAGCTACACTCCCAAATGATTGTAAATTGTATTAGGAATCGTAATGGTATGAAGAAAAAGACGCATTTACACATTTCAATATTACCCTTCTTATGAAACTATGTTACATTCATATAAAAATTCTTCAGGGCTACCTGAACAATACCTACTGACCATTCACACTTATAAATACATTTAGCATTCGTTTCATTTAACAATGCGTTCGAATAATTAATACGTTCGTTTCGTACGTTATAAAGATGCCTTAAAGACATGAATTTCAGATGTCTTTATAACGTTCGTTTCGTACCCTGTAAGGATGCCTTAAAGACATGAATTTCAGATGTCTTTACAACGTTCGTTTCGTACCCTGTAAAGATGCCTTAAGGACACGAATTTCAGATGTCTTAACGACATTCGGGACAAAATATCGTAAAGATGTCCAGGTAAGGTTGTAAGACGTTCAGACCTAAAATGGTCGTAAAATGGATGTCTTTAAGACATCGTGTGCTATCTGGGTAAATTCTCACTATTCCCAATGTTGTCCAAGCACTGTACAGGGTGATCCTCTCGCTAAGAGACACAAAGGAACTGGCGACAATGAATCCCTTGGCCGCACCATGAAGACATACAGAGTCGTCTCGGCCCAGGTAGGTCCCCACTGGCACGTGACAATACGGACCTCTTTATGGTGCGGTCAAGGGGTCCATTGTCGCCAGTGTTCCTTTGTGTCCCCTAGCGAGAGGATCACCCTGTATACGCAAAAACAAGGTCAATACTTCTTTGATAACAGTGGGGATTTTACTAGAATTAGTCAAAATGGTTTTCTGACTCCTTCATCCCTGTTGATTTGAAACTACCCTCAAAACAGTTTTTATTGAATTTCTTGAAAACAAATGTTTTAGACAAAAGTTGTTTGTCTTAAAATTCTACATAAGAAAGGTCTTTTTCATTTTTTCGATAGGACTAATCCTTTACTCGAAAATCGCAACTGAAAATAACATTGCAATATAAGCAGCGATTTTTTATATATATGTATTTGATGAGCCATGTATGAATTTTGTGAGCCACTGTATGAACTATAACTATAATTCAGGCGCTGGGAACAAAAACGGGCTGAACTTGGACTCCAAGGACGTAAAATAATTACATTCTTTATTTATAAGTTAATAGTTTTCGACCCGTAAAATCCAAAAATATAGGTCTATATAATTTAGGAAATTAGCGGTTCAGAAGTTATGGGTATGTAAAGTTTCGCGTTTTTAGGGTATTTTACACGTTACTTCGACGCCATGTTGCTTCCATCTATCATTTGATTGGCCCGCATAGATGAGCATTCAGTGTGTATACCGCAGTTCACCAGAGTCCATAACTGCGAAAAGACCAGTTTTCGTTCTTCGCGCATCTCCAGTGCGCATCTTCGCCCTGATTGGCGATACTCCCAAACGAAGTGGAAAGCGATTGGCGGATAGCTCGCTGCGTTCCCCCACCATCTTCCAACCTGCGCGTCGCAGTTATGGACTCTGCTGAACTGCGATATACATATGTAGTTGCGAGAAAGGAATAAACATATCAGACATCTGGTAGCAAAGTTAAAAATTAAAGAGTGGCTATAGTCACTGCGGCCGTTGAATGAACGTCTTTCGACGTTGGTACGTTGAAGTCACTAGCGTAAATTCTTGATAAAACATCGACAGTACTTTGCTTTTCAAAGTAGTTGATACTAAATGTTCTGTACTTAAATACAATATATTTGGGAAGCAAAGATAAATTGCTGAAAGGAAGCCAATTGAAATTCAGACACGCAAATCACAATACAGTTACTCTATAATGTGTATGTGTATCATGAGTTCGTTTTCTGAAAACGAGAAAAGCCTTAACAAAGTTTGACAGTTAACAGTCTTGCTCTCTGAGGAACGGTTTGACACTGACCCATTGAAATTTTAAAATTATGTGCATGAACGTATTTAACAGTAGATTTATTAAAAGAAAGATGATATAACATGTCATTCATATTCTTTTAAATAACTAATATGACGTTACTATAATAATTATAAACCGACCTCGTTGGTCATGGATGACGGTCTTATTCACATTTTTCAAATACTTGAATTGTAAAGGTAAGGTTAAGTAACAGTGTTATCAAGTTTGCAATAATATCAGAAATGTTTTACAATTACAGGTCAGTGTTTCGTGCACAATTAATAACTTGATAACAGTTACACAATGGCTTCTGCTATGGAGCAACAACAGCAGCAGCAGCAGCAGCAGCAGCAACAGCAACAGCAACAACAGCAACAACAGCAGCAAACTACTTTAGAATTTTATCAAGCGATGGCTGATTTTAAAAACATGTTCCCACAAATGGACGATGATGTGATAGAAGTATTATGATCGATACAAATATTGAGTTATATAAGATAGATATAACATCGTTTCATTTTATGTTTCATTTACTTTAAACAAAATCTTCCAGGCTGTATTAAGATCTAATCAAGGAGCTGTCGATACAACCATCGATCAGTTACTTACTATGAGTACAGACAATGAAAATGAAAAGATTAGAAGCGAATTAGAACAAAGCGAAAAGTCACCGGGTACCTCGAAACTGTCGACAATAGATACAAACGTATCGTTAAAAAGCATACGCAAATGGCAACCCGCTATGTTAGGGCCATTACCAGATACATTCCTTAGAGTTTCTCAACAAGTTCCAGAGGACAGTTTGGACACGTCGTACTTACAGGAAAATTCAATGTTAGAAGACGAGAGAATCGCTATGTTTCTTCAAAACGAAGAATTCATGGCCGAACTACGTTGGAACGAAGATTTTTTGTCAACCTTGGAAAATGGTTATTAATTCGCTGTTATAATCTACAGTGTTAAAAAATTATCCGAAGAGCTCTACACCGTTGGATAGATCACGGAAAATCGAAGCGAAATGTTCTGTAGCATTTTTCGATTGGAGCAGTAGTTTAGCCACACTTCGTTATTGAAAATTAACCAATCAGCGCCCAGCTTGAGTGGCGAGACACGCCTCCTCCGAGAGTCGTAGTGCGACGGCGGAGGCGGAGCAAGCGAACGGAGACTCCCTCCCTTTCCGTGTAGTCTCCCACTCACCGTGTATTGCCACTCAAGCTGCGCGCTGATTGGTCAATTTTCAACAACGAAGTGTAGCTAAACTACTGCTCCAATCGAAAAATGCTACAGAACATTTCGCTTCGATTTTCCGTGATCTATCCAACGGTGTAGAGCTATTCGGACAATTTAACACCCTGTATACGTATAGTTAAGGAAATGTATAAACTTAAAAAGTTATAATTATTACAGATACTAAAATCCAAGGAACAAATCTAGAGAAATGCACCGGTCACATCAATCACGACGATGAAGATCTGTTTAAAGAAAGATTAAAGAATATGGGAAAAAGTATATACAATTTTACATTTAATAATAATCATATTCTTAATGTTATTAAATACGTATTAAACATAATGCTTATATTTTAGTGTCTCGACGTAAGTTTGCGCAACTTACCAAAGTGTTTACACGCAGTAAAAAACGTGGAGGTAGACAGTTATTACCTCCGACGGCTTCTTGTGATGATTTATTGGATCCCGAGGGGTCGTCTAGATCTCAGCCTTAAAAATTTGACGAGTCCCCTTGTTTTCTCAGAAAATAATTTCAGTAAATGATACTTATAATAATGTGTCGTCCAGAAGTAAAAAAAAAAGCATATCCACATTAATAATTGAATGGAAACTTACAAGAAAAATTTAGATTGAAATAGTTATACCTATACAGATTGTCTGAAGCTAAAAGTAGGAAAGTCTTATGTCTTGAACAATGATTAATTACGTCGATACTTATCGAGTTGTCTAAATAACTCGATTCAAAAGCTTAGAAAGATCAAAAAGCAGAATATGTGAATAACACTACTAGATATTATAAAAGGAAAAAAAAAAAATACAAAATATTTCGTATTTTAATAATATACTATGAATAAGAACACGTTCTATATAGCAGCAGTACAATAATTACTACTGTCATATTGTTAAAATAGGTACGTGTGAAACTTTCATGGTAATGTTCTTTTAATTATAAGGATATACGTGTCACTTAAATCTTTACGAACGGTTTATCATTGTTTATTTATCTTATTTATATTATTATTTATACATAGTGAAATGTTGATATTATTTTACAAAATTTATAACTGTTTTTTTAATGAAAGCTTTTTGCGACTTATACTTATTTGAAAAGCAATGTTTGTAATTAATAGTAAATGTTGTTGAAGTATACAAATAAACAATATTTACAAGTACTATAATATTAATTATACGATAATAGTAAAGAATAGAATTTTGTTTGAAGGTATTGCAAACTATTAAGATCAAAAGTTATATATACATATATATATATATATATTTGATTTGAAAACGATACTATAATTTATTTATTATTATAGTAATAATACTATTTTTGATTTATAAATACATTTCATAAAAGCAGCTATTTAGAAGTATAAGTGTAATGAATTCTAGTCTGTTTATCTAGCCATGACTTATTTAATAACAATAAATATCAAGCATTGCAGTTGTAATGTTGGTATAGAAAATATATGAACAAGCATAATTAAATATAACGATACATGCTACAGGCATGAGAATAAATGAAAAAAAAAAAGAAAAAGAAAAAAAATACTAAACTTCAATATACCTATGTAAAAATAAACCGTACAGTTTTTAGTGTCTGATGAATCAAACTTTGTTCAACACGTTAACATATATTTTTATTTTCTCATTATTGTAATATATAATACAAGTTATAAAAGGATTATGAAAATAAAATAAAATTTATAGCATATGAAATATTGTAAAACTATTATTTATAAAACATACAGTGGTATACATTGTTTTTATTATACAATATTGATTAAAAATATGGAACAAAAAAGAATATTTAACAATCTTAACAAACTTAATCAATTTAATATTGCATTTTATTACAATACTATATATCAGACTGTTTGAAGAACACTCTAGCTCCAGATAAACTGTAATACAGTAACTGAAACTCAGCAGTTCTTTCTGCAATACGTTTCAAAGTTAATGCCCTTGTTTGTTGCAATTTTTCATCACCATGATCATTTTTACTCTCCGCAGCCTGTTTCTCAGCGTTCAGGTGCTGTTCAACCGTTTTGAACCAATGCAAACTATCCAATTCTGATGACTGATTTAAAAGAGCATTTATGTAAGCGATCCCCATTGCAAAACCATCATCAGTAAAAGCTGCACCGGTTTGATTTTTTTTAAACATTTTCTCTTTATTCGATATCGAGTTATCAACAAAGCTCAGAGTTAACGGTGGTATAATAGCATAAAATTGTTGCAGATGATGGGATTCAGTGTCGCGAAACGCAGAAGCGAACACATCAACGAGAAGCTTGAAATACTGTATACCCTCAGTAAAATTTCTCACTAAATTTGCGATATCATTTTCTAAGCACTTCGCTGCAGCCTGAGTGGTTGTGTTATAATTTAAATTTTTACACATTAATTCAAACGGTACCGACGAGTTGATGTCAGGCAGAAATGAAATTGCATTGGAACTTGCATGCAGTCCACCGGATCTAATTAATCTTACGTAGCCTAATGCATTTCCAATTTGAGTGATCAACTGTCGGAATTGATCCAAATAACTCAGACCATCAGGCGACATGCCCAATTTTCTGATTCCTTTTTGAAACTTTTCTGCTCTTTCATATGTGTAAGGCGTTGCTCCATTCTCTCGTTGATTCTTAATAAACCTTATGTCTCTCATTAATCTTGATTTAATGTGCTCGTCAAAAAGAAACTGTGAAAATGTATGTAGCTTTATGCGAAGGAATTGATACACAAAGTTAACGGTTGTACTCATAATACCTGTTCCATGGGTTCTAATTGAATTTGCTATATGCCTAATTCCAATGGTATTTAAATGTTTATTGTTACTTGTATGCTCAATGAATGTTTGTGTGTTTAAATTGTACAGATACTTTGATACAAACACGTGGATATTCCTCATTATTTCTAAAGCATCTAAACCTTGCTCCAAAGTTTGAGTAGGTAAGTGATTTTGCACGGTATCAAGATTCAGTTTGTAATAGGCAAGAGCGTGCATCATTCTGTAAGTTTTCCAGTCATGTAACGCTACAGTTGTAAGGTTATAAAACATGTCATCAAGATAATGCTCGACGAATCGTTTGGCGTATATCATACTGTTGGCCAGAGGAAGTGGTAACGCTCTTACTATTCTTCCACCATCCTTTGCTCCGATGTTAAATGGATTGGTAGAATCCAACTTTAAATGCGCATGAACATGAAGTCTTAAATTTGTTTCAATCTCGTGGCAAACAGGTTCCAATATGTTCTTTGTTAACATTTCTCTTAATTGCGTGATTCTTTTATTCTTTAAATCTGATCCCTCTTGTTCGCTAATGGTACTGTTAAATGCGTTGAATAAATGAACAATATGATTGACGCTTACATTTCTATCCGTTACAAAAGAGAAATAAGCTGGAATTATATTCTGATGATGCATCAATATGGAATAATCACAGAATTCAGAAATGATATTATGCAAATCAGCGATAATATCATAATTGTCTAATAAAAATCTTAACTTAATCGTATCTTCTTCTCTAAAAGTATCAGTTAATTGACCGGCACAGGCTAGAGTGCATCTGATTATTAATCTTCTATCCGCACTAGCCGGTCCGTTTAATAATCTCATACTTAAACCTATCAGTGACAACGTGTCTAATTTTTCTTTACTGTAACCTTTATCTTTTTGAATTAAACTTTTCCGTGCTGTTTCTAATGTAATTAAGATATAATAACTCAAATATTGCAACACCTGGCTCTGCGATTGCACTATTATTGGTCCCAATAAGTAGAACATAGTCTGCAAGGATTTTTGAACTTCTATTAACCTACATATCAATTGAACGGTGTTACGATTCATAGGTTTAATAAGAGTTGCGTGCATATTCATTATAAAAGATATAATTTCCTTTATCTGAGATAACAGGTTGACCAAGTCTACCAGTAAAGATTGCTTCTGGCCAATATCCGAAACCTGTAGACCAGTCTTCACGAGGATACTTTGCATTTCCATGCACCACGTTACAGCTCTGTGAATTAAATGGTTTACAGTTTGAGACAGCTTCTGCGTCCTGGAGCCCAATACCTTTTCACCCACTTGGGAACTGGCTGCGTTACCAAATTCCTTTGGCAAGAAATCACTTAGAAATTTGCTCGGAATCCACATAACGTTTCCCACCAAAGTTACAGCATAACACTTCTTATTAATTTCGAGCACTCGTTTAATTAACCTTTTATCACAGGTACCAAACAATTTTGTAACTACGACAATACCAATGTTCACCCTAACCCAATTTTTGTTCACGGCCATGTTATCGTTGGTCTTACTTTCTATATCAGACATTAAATTTTTCAAATAGCTTGTAATCTGTTCGCTCATTACAGGCCCTTTGCTTACATCCATTACATGTTCGATCGTTTTGGAAAACAAAACCTTCTTCAATAAATGTTCTTGTAAATCTTTTAGCAATTTGTCAAACATATGCAGCTTCGATTCACTTATACCAAATTGCGTCGGATTATGTGTAACAGAACGCACATGCATTCTGTATTTCTTCCATTGTTCTAATAGCGACGGTTGAGATTCAACAATTTCATCCAATGTTAAAACAATTGTAAACAGACTGATGAAATGTTCAATTAATACGGGTAAATAAACTTCGTTAGAATCACCGGATAGACTAGATAATTGCTCGGTCGTTAAACGTACCACCGTTGATATTCTATTCACGAAAACGAATAGATCTTGTAAATCGGAAAGAAGAGACGTAATATTATAATGATTATCCTCTGTGCCCCTTTCTCCATGAGTAAAGAGTTTTTTATAAAAAACCTTGGCTTCCTCTTCCAAGAGTCTAATTTCTCTGCACGTGCCAGCAACAGCAGCGAGTAATTTTGATAAGAACTTATTTTCCATTTCTATCAAACTAATCAGACTGATATCTTCGACAGGTTTATATACAAGTCGAAGAGGGCCTTCTATAAAATATTCCAACGTAGAATCCTTTTTCCAGGTCTTCTCTGCTAAGTTCTCAAAAAATTCTCCATATTTGCGTAAATGTATTGCACCTGCCGCTTTGTATATGGTTTCATCCTTTCTTGAATTCCAAGCTGAAGATTCTATCATTGTTAGGCCGTTTAATTGTTTAATATTAATCAGACTACACGTTGAATGGCTGATTTTCTTGATAAATTAAATAACATGCAGGATGTTATTACTAAATCTGTATCATGTTCTTTAGTGATCTATACATGTTACACTGTTTCATATTATTTCAATCCTTTTCAATCAGTGATATCTGAAATATTTAAAGTGTTATTACAATACTATTTCTAACAGATGGAACAAATAAAATAATAAATTTAATTTATTTAAAAAATTGATTGTTCGCGTAATTCTATAATTACCATATTATCTGCTTCTTTTATATATCTGAATTATTCCCAAAGGCATGAAAACGAACTAAACTTAACAATAAAGAAATAAAACAATATTTGTATAAATAAAATCCATAACAAAACTGTCAATGTGACACATGTTTAACTTTTAGGGAATTTTGTAAACTCTGGTCACTGAGTATACTTGGTTGCACTTTCTTTGTAATATTGACTACCTTCAAGAAAGTCATACTCTAGAGGCGAAAATGCCATAAGAGAAAAAGAATTTCTCAATATTTTTAGAAGCTACAGATATAAAAAGTCTGCACATGCCTTTATTCTCGGCGGATCATGATTTTGAAAATTTTCAAATTTTTGCATGTACAAAGCATAGTTGTTATGACGATGAAGCCTGTTTTATTAATCTCTCTTCTACCACACTTCG